TAAAAATATTCCGAGCTAATATTTAATTAAAATTAATTAAATTATTTTTTATACGGCTCTCTCAACGTTATTGTAAAATTAGCAGACAAAATCCGGATTTGCTTCCAAAATACTGATAAGGTTGCAAATAAAAAAAATACATACCTTTTGATTGCCCTATTTACTCAACAATGAAGCAAAATATCGCTTGCCTTGAAAATGTAAACTCATTGCTGCATACTTTACATAATAAAACAATTTTTGAAGCTAGGAAAATTGCTTAATATATTTGGAATATATTAAAATTGCCCTCTTTTGTACTGAACGAATAATGTTGTTTTTATGATTTAAGATCTAATTTTTTATATCTGTACTCATTGCTGTAACTCATGTTTAGAAGCAATAAATATTATTATTAAATAAAAAAAATTGAATAAAAAGAAAATACAAACAACTCGGGAATTTAACAGATTGCTGCTAGTTTCACACGGTTTTCGGGACACACGGCTGAATTAATCTAAAGGAATAATCTAATTACCTATCGTAATAGTGTACAACAGAAAACAAAAGAGATTTTGACATTCTAACGGAATTGAAGCGGTATCGCGAGGAGAAATTAAAATTGATGGCCTCTCTCTTTTCGATCGGCCCACGTTCTTCAGCTCTCGTGTCGATTTCAAGTGCGCGAGATTGGTAGTGGGGACGCGATGAATTTACAGCAATAGAAAATTTAACACCTGGTGGAAATAAAATCGATAATTATTTGCAAATCGCGGGAATTTCGGAAAATAATAATTTATAAATCGGGGAACTTTAAGAAATGGGTTGATCCAGATAATTAAAAATAGGAATGCATATTTAGTTCATTACAACATTTCTTGATATATTTTTAAAACGGTACTAAACTATCCCATAGACGTTTAAATTTTAACATCATATTCATTAACATCCCTCGCCTATATCTACAAATTGAAGTTTCATGTACGCAGAAATACTTGCATTAGCAGTTACATAAACATCTTTTGTACTTTTTTCTGGTTACATCCTGTGACAAACATTAATACGATGTTAATTTATATAACTCCCAATAATATTGTAACAACCACCGTCACTTAGAAAGTAACTACTGTCCGTAAAAAAATGTAGCGGCCAAAATGACTAGTACACTGTTAAGTGCAAAAGCAGCGACTAGCATCAGTCACAGTCTGGGGAAAAGGTCCTTAGAGCTTATCCACTCAAATCGTGATAAAAAAAAGGAAAAATGAATAATAATAAATAATTTTCATTATTATTTGAAAATCTAAAGAATTTCACAAAAATTCTAAAAAGTATTTTTTAATGTTTTGGAATATGAATATTGCAAAAAACAATTAGGTTATTACTCTAGTCAATAACTTACATTGAGCTAGAGATTTATCCAAGGTAGTACGTTGATATTCAAAAAAAGTAAAACTGTCACGTAAATGTTGAGATTTAAATAGAAGGAATAGTCTTGAAAAAAAAAATACTGTTGTCCGAAACTCTTGCTTGTTTTACAAGAAAATGCAAATTTTTCAATTTTTTGTCCTGAGTAATATATCTTATACAAGGTTGGGATAAAGTATAAAACCAAGTAAATATCTTTAAAACGAAAAGGAAAATATTTATGAAACTTTGCAGGTAATTACAATGACGCATAACGCATCTGATGCCATATTTTTTGTTACTACTGTACTCCCAGTTTTACCGGAAATATCCTCAACTTTTTTAATTTATATATTTTTGCAGATTTTTAAAAGATCTTGTACGACACTGTACGAATTCGGAATAACAAGATCTTTTAAATTTGCAAAAATATACAGGGTGTCCACTTTAAATTAAAAAAGTTGATGGTATTTCCGGTGAAACCGGAAGTACAGTAGTATGCGTCATTGTACTTGCCTGCAAAGTTTCATAAATATCGTCCTTTTCGTTTTAAAGATATTTACTTGGTTCCATACTTTATCCCAATCCTGTAGATTATAAAATTTCCAGTGCTATTTTAGTTGTTAATAAGTCCAAACTATATAATTCAATAGGAAGTTTATATAGTTGTCATAAATCATAGGTCTTTATTAAAAGTTTGGATATATTATCAAATATAGTGCTTTATTCCCTAAATATAATTTGATTCAATTTTTCTTGAGACTATTAGTTATTTTGTAATTATTTTAAATATACATTTGTTACTGTTTCAATACTTATTATTATTCTCTCCTTCCCTTTCCAAAACCAGTTATGAAATATGCCGAGCATTTGTGAAGCCTGGGCGTTTCCACCCCTAAAGGACTAGAAGAGCCTATAACTAGTTGCCAAAGCCGCTCGATTATGGAATTAAGGGACAATTTTGTTTTTTAATTTTATCTTTTTATTAATTTTATTTACCACTGGTGAATGGATGTTCCTTCTGGACTTCAGGACCCTTTGGTTGGCGACAGTGCTCTTTTCATCCCTTAATAGTATATTGACAACAGTAGCTAAAGACCTATCAGTTAAACCAAATGGATCTTTAGGCTAGTTGGTTGTTACAATATCGCATACAGGTCAGCACAGTAATGTGTATGAGTTACACATCTTTGAGATGACCATCTTTAGTATTTACATCGCAGACCTAACACTCCGTGCCGCATAGATGAAGATGCCGATGATCGCTTGCTACTTACGTAACGTGGTAATGTATTATGGAGTAGTCTGTTGTCTGGTATTTAATATTTTATTCGAATTTCTTACTTTTACCTTCGATATTAATTTAGACTATTTTATTATGATACTTTTTCTGTAAAATTTCCTGGAATGAGAAGTTAGAAGACATTTCTATTGCCTTATATAATATATACAGCTTAGGTAAGATGTGTTATTTATATAGGATGAAATAAATAAAATATTTACCTAACATAGTCCATATAAAATTTAAAAGACAGACAGGACGATAAATGCGTAAAAATATAAAGGGTGGAACTGTATCATATTTGGAACGTCACATTTGGTTCATTAATATGATTTTATTTTATGGTCTTTATAATAGCATCTACAAGAAGTAAAAAAGCTTTCTTGGATATAACAGGAATGTCACATCTGGTTTGTTATAAATACATCATTTTTGGGAACTTCCAGTAACGTTGAAAAAGTAACAAGGTAGCGCTATAATATCACTGGAACGTCTACATTGTTTCATCACAAAAGTAAACGTTTCTACGCTAGGCATAGGCAGTTAAGTGTCCTTCTCACAGATGAAAAGAAAATAAACAAAAGTTTCAATATAACGTGCTGTAGAGGTTTCATTAATTAAACGTTTTTATGCACAGTGGGTGTATTCAAAAACTGAGTTTCAACTGCTGTTCACACACACATGACACATACATCATATAAATGCGAAAGTTTGGATGGATGTTTGTTGCTCAATCACGCAAGAACGGCCGAACGGATCTGGATGAAATTTAGCACAAATATAGATTATAGTCTGGAATAGCACATATGCTACTTTTTATCCCGAAAAAATGTACGGTTGTTCCGGTGGGATCGATTTGAAATAATGCTACTGAGCATAAATAAATAATGACGTGTTTCAGAGTTTTTGGTTTTTCACAGTTTAAGGGTGGGAAACGGGGGGTTAAAAGTTTGCAAGGAAACATTGATTTTTTTTATAGGTAGGACCTTGAAAATTGGAATTATAGCTACTCAACACAAATAAATAATGGTGTGTTTCAGTTTTTTGGATTTTCATATTTTAATAGGGGAAAGAGGGAAATGGGAAAACGAGGGAAAGAAGAAAAAATGGGGGAAATTGGGGAAATGTGTGGAGAGTGAAAGTTTGTATGGTAGGAACTTAAAAATTGGAATTGTAGGTACTTTTCATAAATAAATAGACATGTTTTAAAGTATTTGGATTAAACATATTAAGAGAGGAAACGGAAGGTGAAAGTTTGAATAAGACTTTCAGTTTTTTAAATGTAGAAATTTGAAAATTGGAATTGTAGCTATCCATCATAAGTAAATAATGACGTTTTGGATTTTTGGATTTTCACATTTTAAGGAGGAAGGAATATGAGGAGTACCGTAAAAATAAAAAAAACAAAAAATAAAGAAAAATAAACAAAAATAAATAAAAATAGACAAAAATAAATAAAAATAAGTAAAAATAAATAAAAATAAATAAAAATAAATGAAAATAAATAAAAAAAAAATAAAAATTAGTTTTTAACTAAATATTAAAATTTAATAGAATCTATTAAAAATTATTAAAAACTATAAAAAATGATTAAAAATTATTAAAAACTATAAAAAATTATTGAAAATTATTAAAAATTAATAAAATCAATAAAAATTATTAAAAAATAATAAAAATTAAAACAATAAAAATTAATAAAGATTAATACAAATTATTAAAATTAATAAAAATTATTAAAATTAATAAAAAATAATAATAATTAATAAAAAATAATAAAAATGAATAAAAACCAATAAAAATTAAAAAAAATTAATAAAAATTAATAAACATTATTGAAAATTATTAAAAATCAATAAAAATTAATAAAAATAATAATTAATAAAAAATAATAATAATTATTAAAAATTAATAAAAATTAATAAAAAATTAATAAAAATTATTGAAAATTAGGAAAAATTAATAAAAATTAATAATTAATAGAAATTAATAATCATTCATTTTTTTAAATTATAAACACGACACCACGCGTGCAAAAGCTAGTATGTTTTAATTACCTTTTAAGCCGCTTCGCTCGGAAAGAAATTATTGTCAATTGTAAAATATATATTGATATCAAGAGGAATAAATTAAAAATGAAAAAATTAAAATTAAACCCGAAAACGCAATAATAAATAAGCGCGAAGTACTTTATTGAATTAAAGGGGAATCATTGAAACACGGGGGCAACAATTATTAGCTTAAAAATTTATAGATGCAACATAATCGAAAACGATTTTGATAAAATATACAAAATTACGGGTTTCATTATTATTTTAATAATAAAAGTAAGTTTTATTTAAATATACATTTATTGCCTTTTAATAATTTTATTAAGGAGTTACAAAAAGGGTGTAGAATTGTCTTTATTAAGGACATACAGCACCCAACTCTTCTCTTAAAAATAAACATAACGGCTGTGATTAATTGGACGGGAAGTTTAATTTTTAATTAAATTTGTTAGTTTTAATTTTTACATACCTTGATTTTAGATATATTAAATTTACTTTTTTTTTTGGCAGCAGAAAAATATTCTTATTATGATATTGAACTTTTTTTAGATATTGTGTGGATACTGCATGACCTTAAATTAAAAGATACATTTTTAAGACAATAAATTAAAACGAAAAAAGAAATATATGGCATGCTGTTTGACTATCGTATTAACACTCAAAAATTTGTGACAGTGTGAGACTGTATTTGTCTATCTACTAATTTTGTGCTTTATGTAGTTGACAATACAATGTAAAATAAACTTGCAATAGAATTAATTATAACCAAATGAATATAAATTATAAAATGAATAATGAAAATGATGATCTATAAATATCAGTAATAAAAAAAAAATCAAAACTTAAAAAAATATCTAAAAATAGATTTTGAGTGTTACACACCTACTCTACCAACACTAATATAAGTTAGGAGGAGGGAGGGTAGCTATAAAAGCTAAATACAAAAACAGAAATAATAATTATTTATTTCATAGAAACATAAATCCAAAAAATTAATATTAAATTGCAAGATTTGTTGCAATTTAAGTACACGGTTTTGGTAATATTTTAATTCCATTTAAGGAACTGTTTATTACTCCTCCATCTACAGAGCACTCGTCAAAAACGTCTTAAAAGTTATTTTTGAAAATTTGGGAAAGTCTAAATTTAGACAATATTAAAGCGTTTCGCTGTTATAATAAACAAACCAAAATAATTGAATTTATTAAATTCAGCCATATAGATATTTGATAACGATTTTTTTTGACGAGCCCTTTATAATAACTTATAACGCTAAATCTGAAAATAAATAAATCTTTGGTAATATTTCCGCAGACTCAAAACTTACAAAACCATTTATCATAGTTATTGCTCGAATTTTCACACAGCAACAAATACCTGAAAAAGAAAAATAAAATGAGTAATTCACACACGCCAATTTAAAAAAATATGTTCAATTTTAGAGTTGCTAGACTTTGGAATTATATTTCCCAACAAGTGTTTCCAGATAATCCCAAAAACCAATCCTTTAAAATCCCAAACAATAAATCACCTCTGCTTTCGTTAATGACGTCCGCGGTACATAGTAGAGTCCGATTACATTAAGAAGAACACAGCTGCGTCATCACGTGGCAGAATTACATTTTTAGCTCTTTATCTTTTAACATTGAGTAAAGGAATATTATAAGAGGGACAGTAGATGTAAAAATGCATAACCTATTGTCCTCTCATCGTAAGTTTCTTTTATGGAGGTTACCGCACCTCTCTGCCAACAAACCCTTGAGCCCGGCCGGTGGCTGTGTAATAGGATTGCAGGTTTTATTTCATAGTATAGTAGAGTGTATGTATTAAAATATTCGTTATAAAAAACGATTTACTTCTCACTTTTTGTCACAAGCTGAATTTTCCAGGGAAAGTTCATGATAAGGTAACCTTCATTCCGAAGGTATAGCAGGGACTGAAGTTGGAAATCCTTTTGCCAGTTCTCCCATTTCATACACAGGATTTGACAGTTTTGCCGCGGAGCTTATAAATAGATAAGTTTGCCCGATTCCGCCGGTAATAATTTAAAATATTTGGTATTTTGGCGTTCACCGCCTCTCTACTTACCAAAATCCTTTCCAACTTCTGTCCCTGATATAATATAAAATTAGACTGTGCAAAAGGGCACTATTATAGATAAGATTTCTTTTTAGGAGCTAGCCCCGATGGCCTGGTTGAAGATGATTTTATTATAGAAGTGAAATGTCCTTTTTCTTTGAGAAATACGTCAATTGAATGAGTTCAATTAAAAATAATAAATTATCTCGACTTTAACGATGATAAATTGTTTCTAAAACGGAAGCATGCCTACTATTTCCAAATTCAGGGACAGTTACACCTTACAGGAAGGAATTATTGTTATTTTGTTGTATGGTCCCCAATTGGCCCAATCCACGTTGAAGAAATTGGAAATGTGAGATGCCCCCGAAATTGAAAAATTTTTATTTCAATGCGCTTGTACCCGAAATAATAAAAGACTTTGAGAAGGAGTAGGTACTTCAAAGTAGCTGTTTATTTATTTAAACGGCATACACCCTTTTACAATATATATACATTTATAAAATAATAAAGTATCAACTTAACCTAACTAAAATAACAAAAAAAAACCACTTGAAAGGTAAAATTAAAAATAAATTTAAATTAAATTAAAAAAAAAAAACAATTGAAATAAACCCACAGTTCTAACTGATTCTAGGGCGTGACAAACAGAGTTGTCTCTTAAATTTATTGTAACAGGTTCCTATTATGTCACAGTTATAATTATTACAAAGGCGCATAATTCTAGATAAGGGGTTAAAATAACCGTAGGTTGTTCTATGCTGTGGAAGATCAATCAAAACTACATTACGTATTAACCTAGCTGGTACACGAAATGGCAACGACGATAATATATTGTTAACAGTTTATTTTACCTGATAACACTTTATGAAAAAACAATAGGTCATTAATAAATCTTCTTATAAATAAAAATTCAAGATTTAAAAATCTTACAATCGTTTCGTAGTCATAATTGTTAGAAAGGACCAAGCCATATTTTTATAATAATATAATAGTACGTTACAAATAGGTACTATCTATTTTTTTTTTTTAATCCATAGTTTCAATTAAAATAAAAGAGTTTAAATTTTTTTGCGTCTTTCTCAAAACTAACATTTCAACCTGTGCTTACCTTTTTCTTTATTTAGAAAACTAACAAATAAATAAAATAGAAAAATAAATGTTCGAAGCCATATACAGTGTGTCTACGTAAGTTGGCTACATATGGATAATTGTTTATAATGAATTTAAGGAAACCATTTATTCTTCATAAAAAAATGTGCATGGCCTAAAACCTAAAATACAACCATCAGATTTCAAATTTTAAAAGTCGTATACGAGGTTTGTCAAAAAATGTTTGCTAAAGAGTAAAAGTACATTCATTTTTGACAAATCTCATATAAGACTCATAAAATTTTATATCCGAGAGAGAGAAAGAATATATGTTTATTGTCCAAGTTAAAATACTTATTGACAAACACAATATTGTTATACAAAGCACAAATAAATAGTCATTAAAATATAAACAAACATTGTTATAAATTAACATTAATATAAACATCTAAAATAAAATAGAACAAAATAAAACAAATATCACAGTGTTTCGTCATTATAAAATTCTGTAATATCATAATAAGGCCTAGTTAACAGAAATCTCCTGAGCAGCTTTCTAAAACAATTCTGTGACCCAACATCTGTCAAAGTATGTGATAGCCTGTTGTACATCTTGATACCGTTACATATAAAAGAGTCTCTTATAAGTTCAGTTTTGGGAATAGGCAACTTCAAGTTACCCGTTTGGCAAGTTACACTGGATATATTCGATTTATATTTCGACTTGTTCTTATGATTCATGAGAGGTAAAGTTCTAATGGCCTTATTAATATTTGCATAAAGAATATTGACGTCTTTATTATGCCACAAGATAGTATCGTCAGCAAATAGAGTGAAACTTCCTGAGATATTTAACTTTATTTAACTAAATCATTTATATAAATTGAAAACAGGATGGGTCCAAGGACAGAACCTTGAGGGATATTTTATGTCACTTGTTTTCAAGTTTTAAACAGTTCGGAATAACTGTTTGTGACCTAAAAGGTAGGATTTCATCCAACTCAAGGCCACATCTCTTATGCCGTAAACTTCAAGTTTTCGCAGCAGTATTCCGTGGTTGACACAGTCAAAAGCTTTAGTCAGATCCCAAAATACTGCAGCTACGGCCTCGTTGAAATGTATACGTGTATAGGCTAATTCCAAACAAGAAGAAACAGCATCCGATACGTTTTTTGTTGTGTTGAAAACCTAATTGATTTATGTCCAGTATATTATTTTGGTCTAGATATCTAACTAGTCGAGTTTTTACAAGTTTCTTAATAATTTTTCCCAGTGTCGGAATTAGAGATATGGGCCTAAAACTAGACGGCTCAGACAAGTCTCCTCCCTTATATAATGGAACCACAACAATCGTTTTAAGAAAAGGAGGAAAAGTACCTTCATTAAAACTTTTATTTATTAAAATGGATAAAACGTCTAATGCAGAGGTAGGTAAGTTTTGAAATATTTTTACTGACATTCCATCATATCATGTTGCAGTTTTGTTGTGCATGTCATTACAAACTTTTAATATTTCTAAGGAATTTGTTTCCCTTTAGAAAAATAATTGTTGACGATTTTACAAATTCTATTGGGTTAATTGTTCTATTTAGATTTTTTGTTAGATTTTCAGCGATATTGCAATAAAATGTATTGTAATCGTTAGAATTTATATTTGCATTGCATGTTTTAGGGGTACTTTTGCCTCTCAATTCATTAATAATAAACCAAGTTTCCCTTATTTTTTGAGCTCTTAATTCTTTTATGATAATACATATCTTTAGCTTTTCTAATAAGTGTTCTATATAAAGTTTTGTAGCGATGTTAGCAGTTTAAAAATAATTGCGTAAATTTTTTTTATATAATTGAGAGATCTCATATTTTTGATAAACATCTTAAACCAGCTGTAATCCACGACTTCTTCTGCTTAATTTTTATTTTTTGAAAATTGACGCATTAAAAAATTTGCTTAAGTTAAATAAAAATCGTTAAAAGGAGATATATCAGTGAAGCAACTGTACCAATTAAAATTTTTATAGATGTATTTTTGGTTTTAGACCATACACAATTTTTTATGATAAATAATTTTTTTTTCTGATTATTAATAAAAGTTATTCTTCATAAAAAGTTCTTCATGACTTACGATTTTTGTGAGATTCACATCTGGCCTCTCCTCTTTTATCTTCGTTTGACTAATGTGAAGATGAAGAGTGAAATGAGTTGATTAAATCTTGCATTTAGATCAGAACTGTGCGTTTTGGCCTGCAGATCACTTCGGAGCGTGTAGGGCCTTCATTTAATAGATTTGAACTGTACAGCCCATCAATTCACGTGAAGTACTTGATCTGACTCACATCTGGCCACACTGTATATACGATCTAATAATGGTAATATAGCACAAAACAGTAGTAAAAGCCATAAAGAGCATACATTTGATCGTTTTGTCTAATTTTCCTAACGTAGTCTATTTTTTTTTTTTAATTATTATCTACTTTTTCTAATTACTTCGTCTCTTATTCTTATTTCTAGAATTTACCTTTAGTTAATCTATTTAATTATAAGTTATATTTTAATATCTGTCTCTAAAAGAAAATGTACATACAAAAAGAAATCTAATTTAGTAGAAGCAAAACAGGCAGAAATGTCTAGATTCCATGCTCAGATATCTATAAATAACTCAATTTTCATTATTAGGTAATGTATTTTAATATTTAAACAAATAAATTTGATTTTGAATTTAAATTAAAACAAATAATAATTTATTTATAATTGCCTTATTATTCCAGGTGGGCATTTCCAGATCGCCCTCGAATTCCGGGATTCTCCAGAATAGTGTAGCAAAGGGAAATGCGATAACAGACATCGTGTCAAGGACGCGTTCTTGGCCCAGATTAAATTTTAGGTTGCATTCGTGTCCCAGTTACCCGGTGACCTATATCCCCGGCCAGACCTAGTCCTGATTTCGTTTTCCAAAAGATCAAGTTTATGACGTCATATCTGGAGTGAGCTACACAATTGAATTATTTGAGTGAATACATAATTGTGTACCATTCTGATTTGATTAACAGATAGTATAGATATGATGTCGAAAATCAATATTTCCTGAATTGTTTTAAGTACTTTTTTGAAACTTAATATATGGAGGAAAAAATCCAGTCGCATTTATCTATGGATTTCAACGGACCCCGCCCTTTTTATATTAATTTTGGATACTGTCAGAATTTGTT